ATTTAAATTTATAAAATATACATAATGTATATAAAAAAAACCTAAAAGCTATTACAATCCGCACCATACATGCTCTAAGTTTGATGAAATGAAGAGAAGTACTTGACTGGCCAGTACTTTACTAACCGTAAATCCTATTATTCGACACTCAGTCCTCGCACTGCAATGAGTTCTTCAGAGGTCAACAACAGCAACTGCCAGAGCTGAGTCATGGTGAATCCGACTAGCCATTGCGCCGCTTGCGCCGCCTCATTTTCATCGGCATCGGCAAGAACACGTTGAACAAGAAACGGGAATGGTGGCGTGGAGGTCAGTGTTGCCTGTAGTCGTACTCGTTGCTTTCTTAGTGTTGGAGGAGTGGATCTCTATTCCTTCTTGCAAGATCCTCCCCGGCATTGATTCCGACGAATATGTCGAGACGGGAGACGGTTCGCCCGAGGATCTTAAGGTTATGATGGTCGCCAATTTGCTCTTGCTTGGCTCTGAAGCTGGTTTCTTTGACCTCTACTTCAGAGACTATTACATGGCCAAATTCTTCAGGGTAATTTAGTGCTTGGGTTTATCTGTTTGTGTTTTCCTTCTTCTTTCGATTATTTCACTGCTCCATTAGTCCAGTTATTGGATTTAGATAAAAGGGTTTCTTAGCATTTAACAGTGCCTAAGCTAAGAATGACTCTTTAAGCTGTTGAAGTTTTTGGGCTATGTATATTAGCAATCCATTTATGAAGAAAATAATGATTTAAGATTACTCTGAGGAGGAATCCATTCACACACAAGTTTTATGCACCACACTTACACAGAATCTTTACAATTTATTTCTCTATTTTCAATGGTCGGGATTTGTCACGATTTTTTAAATAAAAATAATAATTATCTTTAATAAATGTGAATAGATCTTAATCATTGAAAGTGGAGAGATGAACTAACAAGTATACTAAAATGTAGATGACTAAAAGTTGTCAAGTTGAATAATGAAATACTATTGTTTATTTGTTGTTTTGAATAATTTTAAAACTAAATGCTTGTTCTCTACCAATATGTGAAGCAGAAATCTTTCAGCACTTTGAAGCCTGATATGCTGGTAGTGTTAGGAGATGTCTCTGCAAAAGGGTCAGAGTTGACAAGAAGTAAATGGTTAGATGTGCTCAATCAGTTTCACAAGATGTTAGGACCTTTTCTTGCCCTCCCTTTTCATGTTAGTCTTGGTGACATGGATGTTGGGGAGTGCAGTAATCTTGACAGAAAGTCAGTTAATTGGATTGCAAGAAATTTTCCTGGATTGGACTCAGCAGGATGTGGTGCCTTTGAAATCAGTAATATTAGCTTTGTCTCACTTAATTCTGTGGCATTGCTTTGCGGCAACAACAAATTACGTTTTGGTGTTGAGAAGGTAATAGAGAGGGAAAGTGTAGATCTGCAAATGGTAACCAGAGCCACAATTAAAGTTGAGGATAAATCTGGCAGGTCTAGTGAGACTTCAAGTAACTTTGGATGGAGGGGAAATGGCTTGACATCTAGCTCTGGTCCAGTCCTGTTACTTCATTTTCCCTTGCACCGGAAAGAAAACAGCTATTACAAGAAAGTTGTCAGTTTCAAGAGCAAAGTTGATACTTCAGGGTATGGTTCAAATATATTAGAGAGCAGGTAATAATATCTTGTTTATCTGCAATGCATTCTGAATCTCCGTGGATGTTTTGTAGCTAATTGTCTTATGGATTTTGCTTTAGGTTATAGAGAATCATTTTTGTTTATGGTAAAACACAGAAATTTATCAGCAAAAAAATGAAGATTTGCATATTCATTTTCAATTTGATGGGAGATAAAATGGTAGTGCTTCCACTATCTAATGGTTGAGTTCCAACAGCTGGGTTATTTGAGTTATAACTCAACTGCAGTTTCCCTACTACCTTGTTGAGGATGAGTCATGCTAATCCATTTTTTCTAGAGGATAAAAAATTACTTTACATTACAGTCTTTAAGCAAAATCAGTCCCAGCTTCCATGTTTAGGATCTTGCATTGACATGCTCTCATTCCTCTTGTAGAATAAAGACTTTATTGCCTACATTTCTGCTCTCAATTGTGTTCTTTAGATTTCTTGAAATCACTTCTGCCTCTGAACATTCTATTTATGTTTCATTTAATTCTTCATTCAGAGGGTTTGCTGGGACTGGCCTCTATGGTTTATTTCAAACCATCCCACCAAATGCTACTGAATACATTTTCCAAGCTCTAAAACCAAGGTAACTACATCCTATAAAATCTGCCTGAAAGTTTTCTCACTTGCTCTGTTCTTTATTGTATATTTATCTTTCTACCTGTCAACCTTCTTGATCTATTGCTTCTGCATTCAAGTGCCTCTTATTCGTGAGCTGATTGATTGCTCCTCTTCCCCTTATTTTCAGGGTTGTTTTCAGTGCTCACACACATGAGTTTGATGATTACACTCATTCAGACGGGACACATGAGATAACAGTTCCGGCCATGTCTTGGAAAGCAAGGAGTGAGCCAGGTTTTATAGCTGCAACTTTCTTGAGCAAAAATAGAGGAGTAAGTATAACCTATTGTTCTGTTGCCAGGGAATCTCATATGCTAATAGCCTATGCTTCTGTTCTGGTTCTCTTACTCTTTTTAGCAATTGTAGCAAATACACCACGACTGAAATGGTTAAGACAATGATAGCAGAAAGCCTCCATAACATGAATTGCTTCTCTGATTTTGCTTGTGACTATGCTCTCTCTCTCTCTCTCTAAACAATGGTACTTTTTATTTTTCAAAGGCTAGATCTAACTTTTCATTTTCTTCAAGTAAGAGAAAATCTCGATCTGCTAGCTGGAAAACAAATTAAATTTGGTCTTTAAGGTTCCTTTTTAACAGTTGAAAACATCCCAAATATGACCCTTTGAACTTGCAATTGAAAGACATTACTTACCGGGATGGTCACTTTGGCTATTAAGACAGGGTAAAGATGCTAGAGGATTTGAGACCGAGAGAAATTTTGAGATTGGAGGAGATGGAGAAAAGAGGGAAAAGAGTACTACCACATTATGCAACATTAACCGTATAATTTGATGCCACTGCCACTGTGTGCAACATTAGCTATATAATCTGATGTTGGTGCCACTGTCACACCTTGACTTTAGTGAGAGTAAAGGCCCTATGGCTTAGAAGATTTGAGATGGTGAGAAATTTTGAGAGGGGAGTACTATCACATAATGCAGCAATAGCTATATAATTTCATGTCAGTACCATATCTTAGATTTCAATTTGTTTGATATCATGCCAGCAAATTAATAGATTCAGAAGCAGATGGCAATAGTTGCATCCTAAAGAATTGTTGTTGCTGATGATGGCGGCAGCATAATTGGACAGCTTCAATTTGCAATAAATGACTTGAACTGCTAGGGTAGTATTTTATTTAGCAAGTAATCTGAAATTTGCAACCTATAATATATGGCTGCTGAAACAAACTGGAGGACATTTTTATCCATCAATTGGAAAATATCCTGGTATTTTGGAGTCATTGATCATCAGATGCCATTACTAATCTCATATTCTTGGTCTCCCACCATCAAGAAATTAGATCCCTCATCCATCACCAGCAATCCATCTTTGTTAGCCCAAGTTAGGTGCTCACAAGGGCTCAGTTCAAACTCAACTTGAGCTCTCTCCCTAGCATTTAGATTTATTCTCTGGAATCCGATCAATCTTTTATTGGGCCTCCCATCTCCTACCGTACCCTGCCTCACAAATAACAACACTGGATGTTTGCCTGCCATCTCTCCGTGGTTCTTTACCCCGACTTTGACCTGAAACTTCCCATTCTGACAGAGTTCTGCACTCATCTCTGACACTAATTTGTATCCCTTAGATTCTGAGTTCTTGCTTGTATGATCCCTTGAATGCTGACTGAAATAGAGCTTGGTTTGGGAAACAGAGATGAATTCATAAGAATAGTTTGAGTAACTGAGACCAAAGCCAAACTCAAAAACCTTGGGGCCTTGGTAGAATCTATAAGTGCGTCCAGGATAGCCTGAAGATGGTTCTGGACGCATTCGCATGTCTGTCATGTTTACCCTGGTGAAATTTTGTGGATACCAGGTAACTGGTAATCTCCCTCCTGCAAACAGAGATGAAGTCTACCATGTAATAAATCCATCTAAATACTCGATTATCTTTCTGTTTTATCATGCACAGAAATAGAAGTAACTTATTGTCTCACCTGGGTTATGATCACCGAAGATAATTTCTGCTAATGCAAGTGCACCTGCTTCTCCTGGATAACCAGCCCATAAAATACTTCCAATATGTTGATCATACTTGGCAAAGGATATGTCTACTGGACCTCCACAAAGAAGCACCAGAATAACTGGCTTCTTTGCAGCTCTTGCAATGGCAGAAATCAACTCCTGCTGCTTTCCTGGAAGCACCAAGTTCTCACGATCAAAATCTTCTCTTTCTTGAGTTAGATCCAATCCCATTACTAACACAACATGGTCTGCTTCTTTTGCTATCTTCACTGCTTCCTGGATGAAAGCAGAAGAACAGTTAACCGAGTCACACCCTTGGTCATACTTGGTGTTTTTGATATATCTCTGCAAGGCTTGCAATGGTGTAACAGCTTTGCAAGGAGGGCCTTTGTAGTTTCCCTGAAGTGTTTCTGCTACATTGGCGTTGGGGCCAATTATGGCAAGGGATTTAGTTCTTGTTTTTGAGAGCGGCAGAAGTTTGTCAGTGTTCTTTAGGAGGACAATGCCAGCACGAGCAGCCTCAAGGGCAAGGTTCTGGTGTTCTTTGGAGCAGACTTGTTCCCTGCCAATGTTTCCAAAGTGCAGTTTAGCTGGGTTGCCATCAAAAAGCCCCAGCCTCATTCTAACAGAGAATAGATTGTGAAGGGCTCTGTCTATCTCAGACACTGGAAGCTTCTTTTCTCTGACAGCTGCTCCAGTGTAGTTCTTCAGATAGTCTCCACAGTTCACATCCATTCCTGTAAAAATATAGAATCAAAAGAGTTCAAGTACTCTCAAATCCCTCTCTTTCCATGTCAACGTTTGAATCTAAAACTTTCTATTTCTTAGTTCAAACTGTTGTGTTGTTCTCGGGTAGAAAGTTCATAAGAGAAATTCAGACTGTTAGTTGATGTAGCAATAAAATACCAGCTTTAAGAACATCTGCAACTGCATCCTCTGGTGATTTTGCATATCTTTGTTTCTCATATATGATGGAGACTGCATCACAGTCTGAGACAATATACCTGTTTTTTTTTTTTTGAAACCGAGAAAAGCAAACACAATTATCAAAAAAATATCTATAATTTTCAGTTGAGCATTAAGATTTACATTTGATATTTACCCGTTGAAACCCCACTGTCCTCTTGCTGTTTTGGACAAGAGGTCATAGTCTGCACAGTTGGGGACGCCATTAACACGGTTATAAGCACACATAATCCCACTGGCTCTCCCTTCCTTTATGCAGCTCTCAAATGGAGGCTGGTATGTATCTGCCAAATCCTGTAAACTTACCTGTTAAAAAAAATTTTTAAAATATTAGTAATGCCTTTCTTGGTGTACCAATAGCTGGTAGGTGGTATTATGCCATTATGGGACAGTTTTTGCCGACCATAGCACGTTTGTGATCAAAGATATTGATAAAATAAATGCGGGTGGGGTTATTGTTGTTCTTTATTTCATTAAAGTCATTTATATTATTAGTTTATTGTTTTTTTTTAAATAATTTGTTATGATATTTAAAAAAAAAATTTGTTTATAAATTAATTTTAATTTATTAAATAATAAATATTAATTATTTTATAAATTATCAATTATCTTTTACCGTTAAATTAAGATAAATATTTGACCGTTTGAGTGATCTTTACTTTAACCAAAACCAAAGCCTGTGAAGGTGAAACAAAACGAATCTTTAGAAGTCACGCTCCGAGGTGAACAATGAAGGTTGGAAGTCACACTCGAAGGTGAAAAATTAAGGTTGGAAGTCACACTTACACGAGCATCGAAGACAAATCGGCCAATTCCCTTCCAACTATCCAGATCATAAGCGGTAAAATGCTTGCAACAAGCTGAGGCCTGGAGGTGATCCGCAACTCCGAGCTTCCCTCCTTCAAAAGAGTCCCCCTGAATCCCTCTGACATATGATATTGCATATTTTCCGGTGAGAAGTGGATCTTCACCGGGCGTTTCCTGCCCTCTTCCCCACCGTGGATCCCTGTATATGTTGATGTTTGGTGCCCAGAATGTCATGCCCTGTGCCTGCCCGGCATTGTACATTCCTCTGGCTTCTATTCCAATTGCCTACAATTTCAAACTTAATGTAGGGGCAACTTCGTTTGTACTTTATTTATAATTGAAGCTTTCTTGGTAAAGAAAGAAACTTACTTGAGCAATGCGGTACCATAGATTGGCATCAAAGGAGGCAGCAGTGAGAATGACTTGAGGAAAACTGGTGGCGGATCGGATTTTCCCATCGAAATTGATGCCAGAGGTGACGTTAGCGACAAAGGCAACGCCATGTAAGGCTTCTGACCACCAGACGTAGGCAGGGATGCCCAGCCGTGGAATGGCAGGGGCGGCGTTGACAAGTTGGGATATTTTCTCATCCAAAGTGAGCCTAGAGATGAGGTCTTGGACTCTTTGGCTGATGGGCAGTGTAGTTTTGCAGAAGGCATAGGACTTGGTTTTAGGATTGGAGGAGTCACAAGCGAATGGAGGCTGAGCCGTCTCAGCTAACAGAACCAGGAAAGAAATGAGAATGGAAGAAACGAGGTTGAGCTTTCGGAGCTTCATTTTGGTTACCTCCCTGAGCCTTGAGGTCCTCCAGCAGTCTTATAGGACCACCGTGTCCCCATCAGACTCTTACATAATTCAATCAAATGGGGACATTGCCTTTCCAGTCAAACAGATAAGCAGGGAAAAAAAGAGTAAAATTTTCGTACTTTGAATTGTCACCAACTACAAAATAAAAATTTCCAAAATAAAAGATAAGTCTGTTGATAATGAAAAGCAGGCACATCAATATTAGATGTCTTTTTTTATCTTAAATTTTTATTTTATAATATGTTATAATCTAAATCGTAAAGATAAAAACTTATTATTATGCATTAGATTTAAATCTTACCCGGAATACAAAATTGATGCGGGCTTCATGTATTGGAAAACATATTTTATGGGAACTTGGGAGCCCATGTTTAGTGGATCCTGTCAATTGAATGCTTATTTCGTGATTAAATTGGCTTAATTCAAAAAATCATCTATTAACTTTAAGTTTAATTTCAATTTCATCTATTATTTTTAAATTATTTCAATTCTGTCGATTATCTTTCACATTTATTTCAATTTCATCTAGCCAGTTAAATTTAACAGAAATTCTAATGAAAATCTTCTTAACCTTAGGACTCTAACTATGTTTTTTTTAATTTTTTAGTCCTTAAATTTATATTCATAGTAAAAATAGTTTTATTTTTATTTTGCTAAATGTGTTTTTTTAAAAATTGTATTACAGCGCAGACTGCTTTCAGCCCACCATGTAAAATTATTTAAATACCCTTAATTCTATTTTTATATTATTTTTGTATGAATATTTAAATAATTTTATAAAACAGATTGTATAGAGTCTATCCTATAAAACATACTTACTCTTAAAATTTTTTATTTTGAATTTACTGAATTTCTCTATCTGAATTACAATCTATCCTTATAAATTATTTTTTGATTCATCATATTTTATTAAGATTTAAGTGTCACTTTTTTAAAACTTAAAAGATTGCTCTTTCTCCAAATCTAAGAGCAATCTAATGTCCTCTTTGTAAGTAGACTAATTTGAAATATTTTTCAAAGTTATCTAGATCATTTAGAAATAAAATAAACTTTCTAGACTAAACTGAAATTAAACTAAAAGTTAGTAGATGATTTTTTGAATTAAGCCTGATTAAATTATAAAAGTTAAATTAAATAGAGATAGCAATTAAGGAATATAAGTACCGATCCAATAATATCTCTTCTTAGCTCCTTTCCTCTTTTAACAAAGAAGTGTGTACTGTATAGTGATTCCTCGTGAAGCAAAAACGAAATAGGCGGTAGGGGTGTGGGAATCCGGTAACCACCCGAAAGTCGAAAGCCCGACTGACGGCTGGCGGGTTGTCAGGTTTTTCACCGAATTTTCTGTTTCGGCGGGGTTCGGCCCAAATCCTGAAGCCCGAAAGTAGCCTCCTGCAAACCGAAGAACCGACTAGGGGGAGCTGCTTAAGAGAGAACATTAGGTGATGGTAACTAAGAAAATCAGTCTCAAGAAAGGTAAAAAGGGACCAGTTGCGGCTCAATCTTCATGTGTAATAGCACTTATGTAGCTTACCTAGATGATGCAATGGAAGCAGTATCCATTTACAAGAGGCAAGTTTTAACACTTTTCCCTTTTTGTTTTTTTGGAAGTAACAGTTAGATTGATAATATTCATATCTGTTCTTGAGAGATAAGAGAGTGGAAAACTTAAAATTTAACTTTACATCAGTCAGAATGTCATCACTTTATTTTTTATAGAAAAACGTGACCATTAGAAACACACAAATGATTGGGGGAGAGGCAAGTTTTAACACTTGAACACAAATCTTCTGTTTTGAAGGAGATTAATGTAGTATGTTCTACGTTGGCAAAAAAAAAATAAAAATGGTACCTTCTATTTTATCAAATAAAAATTTCATCAAAAGTCCAATCTCCTGGAAGGGATGCAGTTATTCATAATTCTGATTTGATTTGATTTGATTTTAGAACTGGAGGTTGAGTTTTGTGGGAAACATTTTTCTCCAGAACACATTATAGATGCCTAGAGAGAAGAGTAAATTATGCATTAGATTTTTCTCTGAATACATAATAAGATATCACATATCATGTGTCTCATGCATTGAATAACATTTTTTTTTTATGGGAACCTGGAGCCCATGTTTCCAGGGGCAAAGGTAAACAATATTCAAAGCTAGTAATTTGGATACCAAATCAAATATTAATAGTGATCGGATGCTTGTCATCTCCTACAACCAACCAATGTGTTCCTTCTTCCAGCACTAACAAACCGTATTCATTAGCCATGCTTAGGTGCTCACAAGGGCTCACCTCAAATTCTATTTCACCCATTTCCCCTGGACTCAGAATCACACTCTGGAAGCCAATCAACTGCTTCTTTGGCCTTCCATTGCCATGGTTTCCCTGCCTCACAAACAGCAGGACTGGATGCTTGCCTGCCATCTCCCCATGGTTTTGCACTCCTACAATTACTGAGAACTTTCTTTTATCACAGGCTTCTTGACCCAACTGAGAGACCAACAGGTAACGAACTGAGTCTGAGGTTGTAGCTATCTCCATCGTTGAAGACTGGTTTAGGTAAAGAGTGTTTAGGGGTTTGCGTTTGAACTCATAAGTGTACTTGGAGTAGCTGAGGCCGTAACCAAATTCAAAGACTGTATCGCCTTTATAGAATCTATAAGTCCGTCCAGGATAGTCTGAAGATGATTCAGGGCGCATCCGCATGTCTGTCATTGCTATTTTAACAAAATCTTGTGGATACCAAGTCATTGGTAATCTTCCTCCTGCATCACAACAGCATGTAGGACACTCTTATAAGTCTTAATCATTAGTTAATTGGTAATTTTCCTTTTGGCAATTCTCAAGCATGGTCAATATAGTTTTACCAGGGTTATGATCACCAAAGATTATTTCTGCAAGCGCAACCCCTCCATCTTGTCCTGGATAACCAGCCCACAAAATGCTTCCGATGCTTGGATCATTCTTAGCAAAAGAAATATCAACAGGACCTCCGGATAGAATCACCAAAATCACTGGCTTCTTTGCAGCTTTTGCGACTTTGTTAATGAGTTCCTGTTGCATTCCTGGAAGCACCAGATCAATGCGATCAAGCTCCTCCCTTTCTTGCGTTAGGTCTAGTCCCATGATCAACACAACATGATCTGCTCCTTTTGCTATGTCTACTGCTTTGTCAATTGAACCAGAGGAACATGAAACGGTGTCACAACCAGGATGGTTGACAACGTTCTTAATGTAACTTCTCAGTGCTTGCAATGGAGTGACAGACTTGCATGGAGGGCCTGCATAATTTCCAAGAAGTGTTTGTGGGGAATCAGCATTGGGGCCTATCACAGCAAGCGACATGGTCGATTTTGGAAGCGGAAGGAGCTTTTTATCATTCTTTAAAAGGACAATGCCATTACGGGCAACTTCAAGGGCTAGTATCTGGTGCTCTGGGGAGCAGACTTGGTCAGGACCAATGTTGCCAAAAGGCTGTTGAATTGGATTTCCATTGAAAAGGCCTAACCTCATCCTTACATAGAAGAGGTGATGAAGAGCTCTGTCTATTTCAGATTCAGGCAGTTTCTTCTGCTCCACGGCTGATTTGGTATATTTGCGCAAATAGGATCCACATTCGACATCCACGCCTGCAGATGTTTGTCAGAAAAAATTAACATGGAGCAGAATAGAAGATGTTTCCACCATTAAGTTTGCTGATTAGAAGAGCATATATACAGTTTGCAGACTATATAAATCCAGCCAAGCAAACTTGGAATAAAACTTTATTTTTGTGGCATACAATCATTAATAAAGTTACTAATGACGTACATAACCAAAAAAAAAGGGGACAAAATAAACATCAAAATCAAGTAGAGACATGGCCACATCTTAAGTCGTAAATTCAAGATTTGTATTTGTTGGATCAATTAATGCGAATCATTTTGTGTGTGATTAATGATTCTGTGATGCACACATGCCATTTTCACTAGTGAGCCACGCTCCTACATTACGCTGAAGGTTAGAATTTGTCAATTTGGTAGTCATGGTAGTTGTGAGAATCCATCATCAAGACAATAAGAGAAAGGATCGCATGTCAACATATATGGATAAGATAATCAGAGATAAGGTCCCACCATACCAGCTTTAAGGACATCAACGACAGCATCTTCTGGTGATTTAGCATATCCTTGATTATTTTGGATGATGGCAACTGCATTACAGTCTGATGTTATGTACCTGATCAATTTTCAACCAGCAAAGGCAAGTGGAAAATTAATGCATCGTTTTTGGACTTATACTGTGGTGGCCTTGACAAGACAAGAAGAGAATATGCACTTTATTGAAAAATTAAGTTACCCTTTGAAACGCCATTCCCCTCTTGCTGTCTTGGACAAGAGATTTGAATCTGCACAGTTTGGGACTCCATTCACTCTGTTGTAAGCACACATTATGCCACTGGCTCGCCCTTGCTGCACGCAGCTCTGAAATGGAGGCTGGTATGTGTCCGCTAAGTCTTGCAAAGTAACCTACAAATATCCAACAAAAACAACCAAAATGGAAAACTCAGCACTGTAAATGATACATGTAATCTTAAAGTAGCTTTGCTAAAGAGGAATAACGTAACATGTAATCTTAAAGTAGCTTTGCTAAAGAGGAATAACGTAACATGTAATCTTAAAGTAGCTTTGGTAAAGAGGAATAACGTGACATCCGCATTTTCAACCACTCAGCAACTTGCTTCGAAAGTTTTTCCTCTAGTGCAGACAGACATCATCAAAACCCAAGAAAATAAGCCTAAACCAGCTGTATATTTCAACTTTTAACATTAGTTAGTAGTTTTCTTTTCCTTTTTCTCCAAAGAGAGACTAGAATTAAATAATATTACCCATTAACCAGAATCTCATGAATACAAAAACCCAATAAAGCTCATCCGCCAATCTGATTCTCTTAATAAAAATTCTAGAATGGAATTTGCCTAAATCAAGGAGGAAAGTGGAGAACTAGTAAGTTCCAAAAGCACAAAATTAAATAAGAAAGCAATAAAGGCAAAAGTTCAAATTCATAGCTAACACTTACACGAGCATCAAAGACAAACCGATTTATACCCTTCCAATTATCCAAATCATAAGCCGTAAAATGCTTACAACAGGCTGAAGCTTGAAGGTGCCCTCTGAGCTTCCCTCCCTGAAAAGTGTCACCTTGAACCCCTCTCACATATGACACAGCATATTTCCCTGCAACCAATGGATCCTCCCCTGGTGTCTCTTGCCCTCTTCCCCATCTTGGGTCCCTAAATATGTTAATGTTTGGTGCCCAAAATGTCATTCCATTTGCTTGCCCTGCATTGTACACTGCCCTTGCTTCTCGTCCAATCACCTTCATATATTTACCGTCAGCTCCAAAACAAAAATCAGTGCAGACTTTCAACAAACACATCACAATCATGCTTTTAAAAAACAAAATTTGCAGAGTAACCGAAATCAACAAATTAACTCTCTTTTTTTTTTTTTTTTAACTCACTTGCCCAATGCGATACCATTGATAGGAATCAAAGGAAGCAGCAATGAGAATGACTTGAGGGAAGCTAGTGGCGGCCCGGATAGTCCCATTGAAAAGGATGCCAGGGCCGACATTAGTCACCCCATGCAATGCCTCTGACCACCACTGGTACGCCGGGATACCGAGCCGCGGGATCGGGGGAGCTGAGTTTACGAGCTGAGAGATTTTCTCGTCTAGAGTTAGCCTAGAGACCAAGTCCCTGACTCTTTGACTAATGGGCAGAGTTGTTTGACAAAAGGGGTAACCTTTACTTGACGGGTCCGATGAATCACACGAAAACGGCGGTTGAGTTGAGCCAACTCCGGCGAGGAAGAGTAAAGTGAAGAAGACAAAGAAAATGAAAGGCAAATTCTGGAGAATCATACTGTGGATTTTACAGGGAGGAAGAAGAAGAACAGAGGAAGTGGCAAAGCAGAAGCTTTTGCCTTTTTGTGCTTCGATTTTGGATAACAGTTAAGGTGTCTTTAACAAGAGAATTGAATAATTGGTCGAGACTTATCAAAAAAAAAAAAAGAATAATTGGTCGAGAGACATGATTTGTCAGAATTACCCTCGTGTGGGGATGGGCCTTGAAGAAGAGAAAAGGTACGGGTTGGGTTTTGTTGTCTTTTCGTTGGTCTCGTACTGGGAGGCAGAACTTGCTTTCGTGTCACGTGTCGGTAATGTCTAGGAACTGTTAATTTTGCATGTAAACAGGGACCAATAAAAGAAATTTTTTTAAAAATTTTACTTATTAAACCCTTATGAATGATTAAGTGGTAATTAATTCCCGAAGCTTCGTGGATAATCTGGAAGTGATCTAAAATTTGAGTAATCATGCGACATGATTAAGAGATAATTGTTATTGTATAATTTTTTATGTGATTTTAGTGGTTATTTAATTATTGGCTCTTTTTATTATATTAAAATTTATAATGTTATATATATTAATTCATTTAATAATATATTAAAATTATAAATAAAAATTATATCAATAAATCATCTGTATATTATTACTTAAAAAAAATGACTGTTTCTAATTGTATGGCTAAAAATAAAATAAATATACACTAAATGTATATTATTTATTTTGAGAAAATGTAATCATGACCAATATGTGACATGTGTTTAGGTTTTTCTATCAAGTGTTGATGGGGTATAGGTTAAAATTATTTTTTAAAAATTTATATAAAAATATAAAAATTAATATTAATTTTAATATTGTTGTTTATAGATGAATTTAAATAAATTGTTGATAGATTAAAAGTTAATTTTTAATTTTTATTTTTTAATACAAAATTATAATAAAAAATATATTTATTATATATTTATTTTATATTTTTAGAACACATTAAAAAAATTTGTGTTTTTCTTTTTTTTTGAACAAAGAAAAATCTGGGTGAAAGGAGGAATAAGAGACTGTTATTACAATTCAAACTTTGATCGAGATCAAAGAGTTAAGCACACTTAAATCAAGGCAGTCAAAGTTGTGAATGCAATTCATGTGTTTATTATTATTATTATTTTTGAACAAGTTGTTAAAGTGCGAGCTCGAAACCCACCTATGAGGAGGGAGAATGCACCTCAAACTGATAAGGTACCAGTTGAACCGAAGGATCAGGTGCCAATTCATATATTTATTTTTTTTGAACAAGTTTTTAAGAGATAGGCTCGAAACCATCCATAAGAAAAAAAAAATGTACCTCAAGTTAATAAGCTATCAGTTGGCTCGAAGGGCTAGGTGCCCATTCATGTATTTATTTGAAAAAATTATAATTAGAATGAATTATGAATTAATCATAATGCGAGTCATATTCTCTGGTTTAGACTTTACAGAGACAATAATGCCGTATGAATCGATTTACTTTGGTATGATGTGTCAGAACCTTTAATTTAGCATTTCATTGACGTCTTGGGGATTATGATGATGTAGACATGAAGACAAAAAGGGGTAAAGTAGATGGACCCTTATTCAATTGCACCCAATCTTTGGACCTTGTTTATATGGATGACAATCTCTAATCCAGAACAGCGTTGTCCTTTTTATTTGTCATGACACGCAGTACGATTGTGCAGATGCCAATGATTCCAGTTGATTTCCATTCCTTGCTGTTCTTTAGGCAATTGGTTCCAAAATAGAGAAAAATGAGAATCAACTTCTCAATCTCGAGCTATAATTCTCCTGGAACTCTTTTCATTTTTGAGAAGATAAGTATCAATTTGAACTTGTTTACAGCATTGTGATTCTTATAAAATAAAAAATGATTACACAACTCAATTGATAAAATATATATTAATTTAACTTAAAAGCTAAGTTTATACCAATCTCCTATCAATATTATAATAAAAAAATCAATATTTATAACTATATTATTATATATCACTGGTGGACTGAGACTGACCCCTGTCATTGGAGTTAAGAATTACTTACCAAAAAAAAAAAAAAATTGGAAAAAGAAAAAGAAAAGAGGTAAAATATTACTTGTGACTAAACTAGAGCTTGAATGACAAAGAAATTGTTAACAAAATGATGGGCTGGCCTTGCTGCCTTGGTTCGATTAGAGATCCAAATGTTTGCCCAATAAAGATTCAACTTGATCTTAAATAAATTGATAAAGCCTAAGTTTTGGGCTTAGCTGACGGTAGGCCTGCTTTTTTATTTTTATTTTTTAAATTATATAGTGAGAGATAATTTTTTTTTATCTCTTAATTTACTTTATCTGTATATCATATAATTTAAATTTTGATATTTTATTTTTAATAAAAAAATTATCACTAAATTATTTACATTATTGGTTTCATTTTTATTTTTTTCTCTTAAAATTTTAAGGTTAAATGCTAATTTTGATTTCTCAACTTTATAGTGTTGCATTTTTTATCCCTTTATTATCTTTTGCACTTTTTTAATCCCTTAACCTTAAAAATTATGTAATTTTAATTCCTTCGTCAGTCATCTATGATGTGGC